TTAAACTTCATTTTAATACTAAAAAAATAATTTTTTCTATACATACAGCATTAAAGTATGTAGTCTTAAGTTTAATTTGCACAAAGAAAGAAGTCTATATGTGAAAAATTGTTCGAGTAATTACAAATTTACAAAAAAATTGGATTTTGGGTAGCCCCGCTCACATGAATGTCGGGTATCAACGACCAACTTTATTTCGTCGATAAATGTACGGTTACAAAGATAATTATTTTATTGCTTCAAATTTGAATGTTGTATGCATTTTTAACAGCAAATATTGTTGTTATTAAATGATTGTTATTAAATGATAGAATTCACTAAAAGTATACAAATATGTAATAAATAAAGTAATTTTGAGATAAAAATGATAAACGAGGTTTACCTATTGTCAATACATTGGTCACTTTCATTTACACCTGAAAAAACAGTCAAAAAACATAATTTTTGTAACTGGGCGGGGCTACCCGACACATTTTGAAAAGAGCTGAAAAACATGTTTTTTTTTAAATTTCTATTTTTTTAAGTTAAACTATTCTTTTTTTGGTTTATTCTTTTTGCATTATTTAATTAGATGATAAAACAATAGAAACATACAAAAATGTTGATTATTACTCAGTATTATACAGAAATATAAGCAATACTCCTTAAGTGAGCGGGGCTACCCGACTCTCCCCTATATATATTTTATTTTATTCAAAATTTTATATAAAGTGTCATAGTTTCCTTTTCGTGTTTTCTATCTTTTTTATAACAGTACCTATATTCCACGACCAGTGGCGTAGCGAGCTTAACTCGCGCCCGGGGCACAATACCCTTTTAGCGCCCCCCCCCATTCGAAAACCATACAATATAATATGTAAAATATACTCGCAAATAAATAAATAAATAAAGTCATAGGCTCAATCTAGGCTTTAAATTTGAGGGGGAAAATGTAGTTGAGAAAACAAGACTAGATTTTGAAATGTATATATGGTCATCTAGAATTAGTTCAAAAGATACCTATTATTTATTTCTCATATTTATAAAGAAATATTTTAAAAACACGCAGTTTTAAAACAATAAAAAAGTAAATATTTATTATCTACATATATTTAAAAGATTATAATACATTAATAAAACTAATTACTATGCATAAATTTTCCTTGCTTTTGATTAAATTTTCCTTGCTTTTGATGAAGCAAATTTATCAATAATATCATCAAAGCTGATCATTTCAAATTTTTCTCTTTCCACACATAAAAATGCTAGGTCACTTAGGTGATCTTGTCCCATCGTTGATCGTAGATATGTCAAAATTAATTTTAATTTGCTGAACGGACGTTCGCAGCTAGCAATTGATACTGAGATAGTCAGGAGTATTTGAAATGCCACTCTCTGGTTTGGAAAATCATCTTCTCCATACGAGATCATAAAAGTAAGAAATTCTAATGGAGTTTTAGGTTCGATTTTTTTTCTACTGCGGAATAACATTTTGCAGTCACATATTTTGATAACGAGTTCTATTCCATGGAAATCTGTATCATAAAATTCACCCAAATTTAAATTTTTTTTTTTCAAGGTCGTTATCAACATTATCCTTGTTTAATAAATTTTCAACGTCTAGTAGAAATGCAAATTTGAAATTAAGGTCACTTAATCGTGTACATATTTCTTGTTGGAGACGATCAAGAACGCTTTCCATAACACGAGAAATTTCACTTTCTGCGGAAATACCAACATCTCAATTGTCCGGGCATTTTGCGGCGTTTTCTTACACGTGTTGTCTTAAGTTCACTGTATAAACTGAATGCTCATAAATAAATGTGAACAACTTATATAAATTAACAGTATTAAATTTGTAAATCAAAAATTAAATTTTAATTTAGAAGCAAATTTATAAATTGTATAGATAAATACAAAAATTAAAATTAAGGAAATGTATCTGGGTCGAGAAAGGAAAGGAAACAAATATACTCATTTCTTTTTTTTTTTTTTAATCATGAAATTACTTCCCTCTCTGATAGACACCCTTATTCTTTCCTTCCTAAATTGATGAAACGTTCAAGGATGGAAGGAGGAAAATAACCATTTCGAGGATTTAAATGTTGTTCGCCAAACAATGAACTGAAAAGCCAAATAAAGTAAACCTGAACGAAGATTAAACGATAACGATATAAATGATAATCGAACAAGCCAGTCAGATAGGTGTATCGATTTTAAAAGTCCGTCAGTCAAGCAACAACACGTATTTTAGCCAAAGAGGTTACAAGTGTAATTTTAATTCTATTTCTTCATTGAAAAAAAGAAAATAATAATAATGTTTTTTAAAATTGCTAAAATTATTGTTCTATGTTCTTAAGATCTTGCTTTAAACTCAGTACTAATAATTAAAGTTCCTCATTCATTCTTTATTCTTTCTATATTATGTCTTTATTAACTTTTTAATATTCCTTTCGAAATAAAATTACTAGGCAAATTTTTGCAAAATGAGTGATGAGGAAGTTTTTGATGATCCTCTACCCATAAAAAAAGATCCGTTTTTATGTTACGTATGCCAGTTAGAATTTGATGATAAATTTAGTCTTCAAAATCATTTAACTACTCATGTAATTGAGAACTCAATAAGTCAAAAACAATCGGAGAATTCTCCCAAAACTGATGCTCATAATTGTGAAATGTGTAATGAATCATTTTCTGATAAAAACGAACTCTCTGAGCATGTGTCAATGCATATGAGACCGTATAAATGTGAATCCTGCCCAAAAGCATATAAAACCAAACGTGACCTTAGAAAACACGCAATAATTCATATCCGTCCTCATGTGTGTTTAGTTTGTTTTAAAACGTTCTCTTCAAAACGATACTTGCATATTCATTCAATGACTCATACAACAGATAGGCCATTTTCGTGTGATTTGTGCAAAAAGACATTTAAATGCACAATCGATCTTAGGAAGCATGCAAGTACTCATACAAACCGAGGAACCCACGTTTGTGACATCTGTGGTAAAGCATACGCTTCAAAAAGAAATTTGAAAATACATTACATTGATCATACGCAAGAGATGCCATTTCAATGTGAAAAATGTAAGAAGAAATTTAAAAGAAAAGATGACCTTAAAAAGCACAGTGCAAGTCACGAAGATGTAAAGCCTTTTGTTTGTAATATTTGCAATAAGGGATTTCATGTCAAAGACTATCTTAATCGCCATCACCTGACCCATACAAGCGAAAAGCGTTTTGTGTGTGAAATGTGTAACGAAGGGTTTACCAAACTTAGATATCTTAAAAATCATTACACAACTCACATTATTGAAAAACATTTTGTGTGTGAAATTTGCAAAAGAGGATTTGCCACTGAGAAATATCTTCAGAATCATAGGCTTATTCATACGAATGAGAGGCTTCATATATGTGAAATTTGCAATCAAGGATTTACGCTGCGAAAGTATCTTAGGAATCATTATCTGACTCACAGGGATGGTAATACACAGACTTGTGAGGAATGTAATAAAACTTTTCGCGATGTGTACTCTCTAAAAATGCATTACAATACTCATACAAATGAAAAGCCTTTTGACTGTAATGTATGTAATAAAAAATTTAAAATGAAGAAAACTCTAAACAAGCATATGCAAGTTTTTCATGCTGAAGAAGTAGAAAAAGAAAAGTTACTTCAAATTATCCCTGCTGTGATCTAAAATTTAAGAAATACATAGTTATATTTAATATAATTGTACTGATTTATTTATTATTTAAATATTTTTTAAGTTTTACTTTATTGAATCTGGTTTTGTCAGTTCGTTAAAGCCAGAAAAGTCATTTTTGAGTAATGATCGCAAAAATAACAATTTGCAATAGTCGGTGAAATTGAAGTGATAACAAATTTGCTTCATATTCTTTGTATTTTTAGTGAGATAACTTGCATGGAAACTAACATAGTAAATATATATATTTTTATACTATGCACTTCAATATAATTTTGCTTTTTATTAGAATTGCATATGTTTTAAAAAAATGTAAAATGCATTTTCAAATATATCAGTATTTGTTTAAAATTTTTATCTCATAATAATTTGTACATCATAATTGCATTATGATTTATTATATCCTACTGTATTTTTATTGACATATCTATGATTTCTTAAGCTACATATCTTAAAAAAATAAAATAAATAATCGCATCACATGAATTTGTAAAGCTTAATAATATATAAATATAAAGCAATTTCAATTCTTTCAGAAGTTATCTGTCTTTCTGAAAACTGTGTATCATCTATTAAGTATTTAAACTGAAACTCCTTAAATTTCTGAAGTTAAAGTTAGTTTAAAAAATGAATATATACTAAATAAAACTTATAATCTTATGATATGCTTGTTAATTTTACTTGTTTTGTAACCTTGTGTTTATTATTTTATTAGAAAACCTATTGCAGTTCTTTTTTTCATAACTTAACTAAATTATCTTTTAAATAACTAAAATTAATTAATTATCACAATGTACTCATTAAAACTTCATTTATATAATATGGCTAATACATATAAACAGGAATTATTACAGATGTCAAAAGATTCAATTCTGCTGCCTCAATTTATTAATCCTAACTTCTGTGCTATTGAGACAACAGAAGATATTAAATTACAATTTAAAAAAAAAAAAATTACGCTTACATTATTGTCTAGAAATAACTGTAAAGCATTTATTTCAAGTTGATCTACAAGATCTATGATTTATTTTTAATTTTAAGCATTTTTAGTCATATTTTCGCTAATATTACAAGGTGACAGACAATATCAATTCAGAGTTATAAGGTTATTCATAATTCTTGTTGTATCAAATGACATTTAGACAAGTTTAGCTCACCAGCTTTTGGCTTTTTGCAAGTTAAGTCAAGGTCAAAAGCAAGGGTGAAACTGCGTCTTAACTTAGAATCCCTTGGATAAATGGCAGAAAGTTTTTGATAGTAAAAGAGGAATAAGTGTAAAAAAATTAGCTACACTTCGCAATTATGGTAAAACATAAATGATTGATATTTAAAAATAAAATAATTATTGGATCAATATTTTAGTGGATGAAATCTACTATTTAAGGTTTTATTATTTTTTTGAACTATCGGTTCTAAAAAATAGCTACTTCTAACACTGATCACATAGGTATTGTCCCGTTACTGACTGTTGTTCAGACTTTATGCTGTACTAATATTGATAAGATTTTTAGCATTCCTAATAAATGATATTCATAATTTTTATAAAAATTTATTGCAACTTAAATTTCCCAGTGATATTTTCATTTTATACCAACAATCTTATAGAATGGAATGGACTTCAAAAATCTGTTCTGTTTATGAAATTAAATAAGTTGTCTATTTTTTACTATTGGTGTAAAATTAGCTAGTTTTTGATTGTGGTTATTTGTGCAAAAGTGCTGAAATTAATATATACAAACAAGAAAAAATTTGTATATCTTATCACTTTAAAAATGTTTTATTGGTTGAAAAGCTGCTATTTTAAGATGTACTTGCATGGGTAGATTCCGTGACGAGGTCTAAGGAAAAGGTCTTGTCAGACAAGTCTGTTTAGCAATATTTGATAATAATCAGATATTTTTAGGAGAAATAAAAAGACATTTTTCAAATTATTTTCATTTGCTTAGCAAAGGACAGGAATCGGAATTTCTTTTGAATGATGGATTATAAAGACAAAATTTTTACCAAACTCTTCAAAGTATTCCATTATTAGGTTATGTGTTTGTGCATTGATTTATTTTTTAATTAATGTATTTTTTTTGTGGTAGATCTAAAGAGATATTGAAAGCTTATAAAATTATGCTAGCAAAAACTAACAGCAAGAAAAGCTATGTGTGGAGAGGGTATCTAATATTATTTTGAAATTAAATTTTATTTTAACTGTGCATTTCTTTATTTTTTAAAACAGATATTTACGTATTATAAATTATACATAGGCATATGATTATAAGTTTCTTTGTCCTCTTAAATTTCTTTTTTTAAATGATAATTAAAAGAAAAACAATTTTTTTTTATTATCTTTAATTTCTATTTTTCTCCATTTTTTTGCTAGTCATTTTTTTTCCCCATTTAGTGTTTTGTTTTTTAAAAAAAGGAGGAAAGTGATATGCAGTTTCACACTGGAGGATTTCTGCTTATGATGGACATATGTTGAATGACTCGGTTCATTGATTAACTCAAATTTTTAAATAAAAAAAATTTAAAACTGTTGTCTCCTCATACAGCAAAATTTATAATTATATTATGTAATATGGTGTGTATTTTTTGTACTTTATATTAAAATGTGACAGTTGAATACTGTTATGATTGAACTTGAATTACGGGGCAATTCAAAATTAAGACTGAAAGCAGTTTCAGGAGTTAGCAATCAAAATTCACAATTATAAATTACAGCTGATTGATTAAAGCTTGACAAAACATGATTAAGAGAAGACTAAGAAGGTATGATTTATTTTAGTTCTTAGTTGAAAATTTTGTGTTGAAATAAATTCAATCTTCAGAACAAATATTAATACATTTTATTGCTTTTCTTACTAAAATCAATGGTAAAATGTTTCATGTATTCTTCATTTAACCCTCATACGGTAAAGTTAACAGGTTTGGCTAAGTGGGGTCTGTAATTGTTCCCACTTGTTTACCACTGAATGATCTAAAGTAATTCATTTCAGACATAATTTTTTATTTAAAGTGAATGAGCATTTACATTATCAGCATCATGTCCAAATATACAAAATAATCCTTCACATAGCCAAATGGAGACCATTATGGCCCATTTCAATTTAAATCTCCTCAAAAATATTTTTGAGAATTGTTTTTCCTAGCATAGTAGCCATATTTTGCATTATTTATGGAAATGTTACTAATGTAGATTAGATAATGATATATATATGCAAGGAATTGGCATTTTGCACATAGCAAAGTAAGTTCCATTGTGGAGCCCTCATAAAAATAAAGCACTAAATTTTGAAACTTTTTTTTGGGAGGAAGGGGGGGGGTTATACATATTTACATATATTAGAAAAGACAATTATGGATAAAAAATTGGAAGTATAGGCATAATAGATCTCATGTCATGGAAATGTCTAACTAATAAGGAATCACCTTGTGATGTCGGTGTTTTTTTTCAAAGAAAAGTTTGTAATTTTCTGTAGTGCTAGGAGGCAGGAGTTAAAAACAAATTTTTATTGTAAAAAAAATAATTAACAGTTCAGTACATTGACCTAATTCTTATCATAAAAATGGGACTAAGTTACTTGTAAAAGATTTCTATGTATAGCTATTTCACTATCTCAGTAAACAGATTTCTATGTATAGCTATTTCACTATCATTGTAAGGCAGTTTCTGGTTTGTTTTACTTTACAGTATCTAAAGATAGTGTTGGTCTGTTGCTGTTCCTGCTTAAACCAGCTTATTTATTTTTATTATACAAAGTTTGCCAACAAATGATGCAGCTAACAGAAAAACTTAAAAAAAAAAAGGCTGCATTTTAAATTATTACCACTGAAATAATTGTGACACAGTTAAGTAAACAATGGTTATTCTGAAAATATTTTCAATAGCTTTTCTCAGTAAACAGAGCCACGTTTTGGCATATTTTGAAATAAAATTTCAAAATTTGCCAGAAATCAAATTTTTACGCAGAACTATATGTTTCTATCTATCATCTTCTGCTTGTTTTCAATTTTTTAAATTTCTTCATCATTTTTAGGACACCTGTTGGAAAGAGAATATTCAAAGAATTTCCACAAAATGTTTCAAACAGGCTTCCAGAAAGCCTTTCAAAATTTTCTTTTCTTTTAAATAAAATTATATTTACCAAATCAGTAGAATTATTTTTCTGTGAGACATTAAAATTGTTGTGATATTTTAGTTTTAATAACAATACATAGTATGTTAAAGCAATTACATCTAAATGAGTTGCACATCATAAAAAAATCATCCAAATAACTAAGTTGATTTCTGGAGATTTCATATGCATAAGATATGATCTTTCCTTAACTAATAATCAGAAAAAACAAAAGAGATAATAGAGGACAAATATTTCATTTCTTTACATTTTGTTTAATAGTGCTAATCTTTTTCAAACAGACAATTTCGTTTCAACAAACAATACATAACTTATAATAAGTGCTGTGTTATAATACAACAGTAGGTATGATATTCAAGTCAATAATTTTAGACTTCATTAGTCATACATATATAACAAGCATTTAAAAATATACATCAAGATAAGGCCATCCACTAATGATGTTAGGCTTGGAGAGTGTTTGTGACAGGGCCTGATTAAGAAGGGTGGCAGTTCAGGGTAAAGCACTGATTCGGGATATCTCAAATTTTCAATGACTTCTAATTCTTTTTTAAAGGAAAAAATACTGATTGTATGACAGTTCAATGAATAATAAAGTATTAATTATAATTCAACTAGTAACATTTGTACTGTTTCTACTTTGATAAAAGCTCTAAGTCTATTTGTATTAAATAAATAAAAAATGTTTTAAAAGAAAACATTACAAGTCAATTTATTTTAATAAACTAAGATTGATAAATTTGAATAAACCAGTAAGATACAAATTTCTATAAAAGAACCACTAATAAATTAACAACTTAAAAAAAAAAAAAATCTTAAAATTCAAGACTATGAAGGGCTCTGGGCAAAAGCCCTTACTGCCAATGAGGCCATCAGGCCCTGGTGATATTGTGACAAGGAGGAGAGATTAGGTAGCAATTGTTATAGTACGTTATTAGTTATAATGACAAAAATGATTTATAATACAGTAAGGAACCGATTATCCGGAACGATCGGGACCATCGCTATTCCGGATAACTGATTTTTCTGGTTTTCTGAATTGCTACAAATAGCCGTTTTTTTTATTGTTAAACCCAACTGAAAAAAAAAAATTTGGAAATAAATTTAAAAAGAAGAAAAAACGATGAAGTAATACACTAAATATTATTTCCAAAATGATGGTATGGTAAACATCTTTAAAAAAAGAACGAAAAATCCTAAAATCTTATGAGGAAAAAATTTTTTTTTTTAAGAATGGCGGGAAAATTTACCGAATTCTGTTCCGGTTTTCTGGTTTCCGGATAACGGGTTCTGTACTGTACTGTGTTTTATTTCTGATTTACTAGTACATGTTTATTGTAATCTTGCATGACATGTGACAAAGTAGTAGGAGTTATAGAAAAGTGTGACAAAGAAGAAAAAAAGATAAATAGAGAGCCCATATCATTTAAATCTGTTTTGCCAATAATATAACCATATCTCCGGAGTATACCATATTTGGCTTTTAAGTGCACTTTTTCGCATTTTGTATCATATATTGCATTCTGTTACAAACAGTTTGCATCAGTGTGAGTTTTAAAGTGCAGAAGGAGTTTACTTCTGGTGCAAAATCCCTGATTGCACACTTGACAAACATGAGGTTTTGCATTTAAATGTGTGAGAACATGTTTCCTAAAAATGCCTTTACATTGAAATGTTTTGCTGCACAATGAGCATTTATAAGGTCTCACATCTTTATGAGAACGCATGTGTTCGTTGAGAAAACGCTTAAGGCAAAAGGTCTGATCGCAAGCTACACAAGCATACTTTTTTCTTTTTCTTTCCTGCCTCTTATGAGTTTTAAAATGGTTCCTTAGGTTTATTTCTCCAGAAAAACTTTTATAGCAAAATCCACAGACAAAAGGTTTAAGCTTTGTATGCGTTACAGAATGGTTTCGAAGATAAGCTTTTCGAGAGAACGCTTTGTGACATACTTCACATTTATGTCTCCTTTCCAAAGTATGGGTAATTAAATGTCGTTGAAGGTCGAATTTTGTAAAATATATTAGACTACAAACTTTGCAAATATGTTTCTCATGGTTGGATGGCAGTACAGTACCAATGGTTGCATGCGAATTTATCCCAGCGGTATTTTCATTCATCACAAAATGAAAACAATTTCCTTTATCGAACTCACATTAATTTTTTGAAATGCACATGAAAATAATTATTTTTTATAAAGTAGATACCATTTTAATAATCCAAAAATTAATTGAAAAGTTAAACGCATAATCCGAAAATTATTTGTTTGAAAACGAAAACTGAAAAGAAAACCTTTCTTTTCGAAAAAAGAAGTTTTGTTGGTTTTTAAGCTGTTTGCTTATGCTAGCTTTATATATCTGATATATAAAAATTAAGCAATTGTTGTATGAATTTTTCACAGTTTTTTAATTTTGTTTGAAGTTAAAACGAGTATATTTTCTTTTTCACATGCAACTAACATTTAATTCTATATTTTTTTTAAAAAATAGTTTCATTACTAAGCTTAAAGCAAATGTCGTGCTTTCACTTAATATGCTCTCTTTAATACCAGAGTCACGCAAAAATGTAAACAAAGAATTCGTTCAGAAAAGACTTTTAATATTGCCGATAGATTGATTATAAAAACGAAAAAAAAAATCAATTAAAAGGAAAATGTCTAAAGAAAGCGTTGCATATCCAATTGTCAGCTTAGTGCAAAAAATTATTTTATACAAAACGAAGGCTGTAAGTTTGTTTTCATGACATTTCAGATTTTTAAGTTTGATTAATACTTCTTGTATCATTTTCAAATTTATAAACAATTTTTAAATTAAAAATGGTTTTTAAATATCTTTCCATTTACTTAAAAATTGGATGTGGGAAATATACTTTAGTTATTTCAATGTTTATATAGGGGTCTTTTATTGCAAACAAGTTGCCTCTGCTTTAAACTTGTTATTTTGTGTAAAAAGTTATAGTGGGAAACTCAGACAACTTCATTCATCCAAACTATCAAGTTAAAAAAATAAATAAATAAATAAAATGAAAAATGACTGTTACTAAAAACTGCAAATGAAAAAAAAATTATACAGCATAACTTTTGAGTTTGTAATATTATATAATTTTATATCATAATACATTTGCTGATATCTTCACATATTGCTCTTTAGTTTTCATAGCATGTTTATTATTCTTATGTTTATTATTCTAACAGTTTATTAAAGTTTGATATAATTCCTTAAACTAATAACTACAATTGAAGACCAAGGGGAAGAACTGTCTGTTTCCATTTTCCTCAAAATATTTTATTGGATCGCCAGTTATTGCTTTTTGAGGATTACTAAGTTTTGACAAATCAACGTGAAAATCCATACACAAAGATGGACCTTACTGTGAAAAACCTTTCCTTTCCACATGCTAAATTGTTTTCTCCAAATCTGCTTTTATGGACACAAATTGTTCTTTTCTCGTCGTTTTCAATTGTTTTGCTATGCAAAAAAACTGGTTACTGAAAAGTAGGACCAACAAATATAGTCTCTATTAAGTTATATAAAAAATTGATTTAAATAAAAGAAATTTGATGTTTTTCTTTAATTTCCTGGTCAATAGCAATTCTATTATGTACACACATGCAAAAAAATGATGACAATTTCAATTAAAGTGTAGTGTAGCAACAGTAAATTTCATAATTTTTTCTATTTGTGATCTGAAATGTTTTTGTTATCCTGATTAAAAGTTTTTTTTATCTCGCTTTAGATTTGCTATTCCTGATTTTGTGTGTGTTCAGAGCATCTCTTTTTTTTTAAAAAAAAAAAAAAAAACACACACACACAAATGCAGATTTTTAATATAATTGAATTAAAAATTCAAGGGATATAGATTTTTGGTCCCACAATTTTTTTTATTTTTTTAAAAAATTAAAAGAGCTGATAACATCCTAAAATTTTATAGTTCTAACCTAGAGACTGTCCAAAATTATAAATATTGTTCAGCCATATAGCTTTATCTGCAACATCTATTGTTTGAAGTTTTTTGAGAATTCACTGAGGTGTAGGGGAGAGGGGCAGTATTAATTATTGATTGTCAATAATTAAAATGAGCAATTTCAAATTTACGCTTTATTCTCATTCAGTTAATGAAATTCAAACTGCCCTGATTAATTTTATTTAGTTTTTAAAATTTTCTTTGCAATGTATGGGAGCATTACTATAATGATCATTTTTATTTCACAGAGATATTATCTGGTCGGATGTAATAACACAGAAAGTAAGTTTCGAGTGTTAAAAATTGATCGTACAGAGTCCAAAGAGCTGAATGTTGTCGATGATAAGGTATAAAAAGTCTTCGCTTTATATCTTATAGCAAAAAGATTCTTTTAATGGTACTTAACAATTATCAATAATAAATATTTTTGTAGGTTGAATACAGCAAGAGAGAAATTAGAGATCTTCTAAATATGATAAAATGTGGAAACAGATCTAAACAAGGTCAGAAATTTGTATCTGATTTGAAGGGGACTATATCATCTTTTGGAATTGTTGGTAATTAATTTATAAATTTGTATTATAATCATTAAAATAAAAGTTAAAATATATCATTCATTTTATTTCATTTATTTATGTTTTATTTAAAGCTGCGTAAAAGAGAAAAAATAATTCAAAAGAAAATCTAATCTGAAAAGAATTCTAAAATAAAATCTAAAATCATGCTATGGAGAAAGGTTTAATCGTAGAAAGCTAACCACAAGCTATCAGTTAAAATTTGTAGTAAGAATTCTGTATTACTCCTTCTAATTTGTTTTTATATCTAAACTTCAGAAACTTGATGTCATCCATGGTTATAATATTTGTACTTTTTAAAATAGAGACTTTATTTACCATTGGATTTATAAATAAGTTTACGAGTTGTTTGAAAACATAAAAATTGTGACTGAAAACAGTAAAATAATAACTCTTAAAATGTGCCCTTTTGCTATATTTATGTCCTGATATTAATTACCATTCATCCATTTGTGGCTGACATCATCTTAGAATTTATTTTTTAAAAAAAAGAGAAATCTTATGAGTTTTAAAATTAAGAGTTAATTTAAATATAACCTCAATAAGAAATTTTCCTGGGCTATCCTAGGCTTTTCCGAATGTTCAGGTTTTAAACTTAACATAAGCAAAGCAATTTATCAAAAAAATTTAAGATTAACTTACAGTTTTTAAATCTTGTTATTGTTTTTACTCAGTTGACCATCAGTGCTCATAAAAGACTAATGTAACTCATAAATAAATAAAGTGCTGAGTTTGTTTCTTTATTGTGATAACAACAATGCCCCATCTGTATTAAAAAATTCAGAGTTCAAGGATTAGGTAAAAAGGTCATAGCACAATCCAGATTTAGTTGCTTTTCTTCAAACCTAAATGTATGTAGAATGATTTTCCTTTTCATTCTTTCAAACGACTAATGGGATACAGAGGTTAAAGTTTGGCATGAGGTAGATTTTTTTCCACCACTTCTAATAAAAAATTACATTTCTTGTTTTTTCTTTACTATATTCTCCAAAAATTACACTTTTTTGCATAGAAATAGGAAAAAGTTTTTGTTGTTCTGTGATTTTATTTTGACCTTAGCATTTTTTTGGTTATGTTTTAGGTTTTATTAGATTTTTAGAAGGATATTATTTAATACTGATTACAAAGCGAAAAAGAGTGGCTTACATAGGACACCATACAATTTATAAAATTCAAGCCACGTGCATGGTATACATACCAAATGATGGAGAGAAAAATATGCATCCTCATGAAGCAAAGTAATGAATTATTTTTTAAATTTCTCATTTTAAACTGTGAAGTTGGATGAGTTATATTTATATGCTTTAATTTATAGGTACGTTAAATTATTTCAAAGTATGGATTTGTCCAGTGACTTTTATTTCAGGTAATCTTCATTTTTTATTTTTAACTTTCATGTGTTAAAATGAATTGTTTGTTCTGAAATATTAAAAAGTTTTGATATTTTTAAAAATAAAGGGAAATCTTCAGATAGTCTTTGTTTGAATAAATAGTTTTAAGAAAGACGCCAGGTGACTGGGTAGTAGTACTTAGGGCTATGTGCCACTGGCCTTTGCTTAAAAATAATTTTTGAAAGAATTTAGATAAATAGTCTATCACTGTTTACAGTTTACTTATTGCTGAATCACTGTAACAGGGTTTGACTGTATAATAATTGGAAGCTCACTTAAGGTTATTGTATTAATGACCATTTTCCTATAAATGAACTTGTTTGCTATGCAGGAAAAAATATTGATAAAAATATGATGTTCTGCATTTCACTAAAAAAAAAAGAAAAATTCAAGAAGATTTGTGAATATGTTGTCATAACTTATGAAGAATTTTAATTCAATGACAAAATTTTTGTAATAAATGATTCATTACTTATATTCTATTGCATAATTTGGAGTCATAAAATATTTCTTAGCTACAAGTGATCGAAAAAACTTTAAAAGAATCATTATGTTTAGTTATTTTATTTCATTTTAATGTATATAAGATTTTTTTCTCTTGTAAGTACGCTTGTGTGTGCGTTTTTTACAATAGAAAAAATTTGTATTTTTTTTAAAAAAGTGTTATTTTAAATTTTTTGAACTTAATTTTAAACATGAATGCATTGCTTGATTATGATTTGATTAAAAAAAGAGCTTTAGTTAATGGGTTTTAAATTTAACTCCTAATCATAATTATTTTTAGTCTTATTTTTATTGGACTAACTACTAATAAGTCCATAAGAATTTATGCCTTGCTTATCTCCTATGTGACTTAAAGAAGTCGCTTACGGTCTCTCCCTCTTTCAACAGTTGCTCCCACAGAGGCACCAATACAATGAATAATAGAGACTAGTGCTCATAAGATGTAATAATTGAAGATAGTATCTTCAAGTAACATTTAATAAATGTTCATTTATGTTATTTGGCTTTAAAAATATAAATTTAAAAATACAAATTTCAAATACGTAAACTTTCCAGTTTTTATTTATTTTTTTTAAAAAGAGAAAAAAAAACTTTTCCAGCTATAGCTATGATTTAACACACACTCTTCAGTACAACATGGCCGTCTACAGAGAGCTTTCCAGTTTTAACTTATCTCAGGATGTTGACCAATCTAAGAGTGTTCCTTTCTGGGATCCCCAATTGAAAACCATTGAAGGAGCCTCTGATGAAATTGCTGATAACTTTCTAGAGAGTTTGAGAGTGAGTTAAATGATTATTTATTTATTTATTATCGTTAAATGCAGGATTGATCTTTTGTTTATGTGAATATCTCTTCAAAGGCTGCATGATACAATCTTTTTTAAATTCATTAAAAAAGTTTTTTTAATATTTTTATACAAAGTGTTTTAAAAGTACAGAGACTGTCAAATAGTTTTGGCAATTATTTATTCGTCAGATAAAAAATACAGGAGTGTTATATTTTTTTTAAAAAAAAAGCATTCAATGATACCAGACTTGACTAATCAACCTCAACCTTTTAAGGAATTGGAGCTTGTTCCATCATATTATAATTATGGCATCATTCTACAAAAAATATTGAAAAACTTTGGTAAATTAAGGGTATACTTTTTGGGTAGAATTCCAAATATACAATAAAAAAAGGTTTCTATTAAAGATTTTGGTGTTTTCCCTTGCTTTACTCCCAAGAGATGAGGTTGGGAGATCAAGTTTGGTGTCATTGATTGGATATGTTGAAAATATTTTCAAGTATATACTTAGATTTTTAATCTGATGCATGTTTTTCAAGACATTTTAATGTTTCCAGGCTTTTTGGACATCCTGTATATTATTCTTTTGTGTTAAACACAGATTAGGCCACATTTTATATTTTCCATTATCAACATTACCAATATCATCTAGTTTGTTTTTTAAATAAGTTTAGGTTATTGATGCTATTTTTAAAAGAAATGTCTATCATTAAAATTAATTTCAAGTTTATGGCTTTATATTTCTTTTCTTATTTACCATCATGTTTTAAACTTTTTTTTTAATTGAGCAAAATTTCTATTTTGAATTCTATTTAAGTAAATCAAATCTCTAACAAAATTATAGATTATACAATCAGTTACAATTAATATCATGCTAAGATTGTTATTAAATTTTTTAGTTTGTTCTGCTCTTGTTGAAGTTAGAGAGCTGTAAAAATTAGGACCTATTTTTTCAATGCAAAATTTTATAATTTTTCTTACTTCGAAGAGCTGTTATGTTTATGATGATAAATTTATGAAATTAAAATAATAGATTGTCATAATAGACATGAATATTTCTAGCATTTTTTCTAAAAGTTTTGTACAATTTCATTTTATTTTTTTATTTTTTGTTAATCACCATTTTTGAAAAGTTGAGAGTTGAGGTATAATAATTTAAATATTTTCTCTAATGTAATACTTATTGTAATATTGTATAAAAATATTATAAGTATTGCATTAGAAATATATGAAAACTATTAAGAATTATTCCTTTAGAATAAAATTGTTTATCTTTGTATTGATTCTCATTCATCTTTAGAATATCTTTAAATACACCAAAAAAATAAAAATAAAATGTGGAAGTAAGACATGTTAAACTTTTCGACAGGACACTGTTGAAAATGATTCTTCTCTAAAATCGACAATTAGTTCTGACTTTCAATATGAAAATTCTTCTGAAAGTGAGAATGCTGTTTGGTCTGAATTGAGATCAAATGAAGATCTTTCAAACATCCCTAAAGAGTCTGGTATGTAATTTCTAAATTATTGCTTTTTTTCAATTAAATCATTATTTTACAAAATTTATTATGATTTGTATGTTTTAAATTTAAATATTTAAGTTTTTTTTTGTAACCCAATGCATATGTACTTAGTTATTTACTTAATAAAGGCTTACTCAACTTTTAGGCCAGGTGACCTATGGTGTAAAAGTAAAGCCTCACTGGAGATTTGTATGGAATTCTCACTTGTTAGAATTAGTAGACCTCCACCCTGATTGGTTGCTTTATATTACTCATGGTTTTGTTGGTCAATCTAGTATCCTTTTATTGCTTATTCCCTTTTCTTTGTTGAAAATGTGATTATTAGTATTTGTCAATCAAAATATTCTATAGGTAGCAGAAATTATTTGATGTTAGTTACAAAACTTAGTTTTTTTAAAATAAAAGAAGTATTTTTAAAAATTAAAGTTATTGCATTTTTTTAAAGATGACTAATTATGGATGAAAGATTAATTCTACACAGAGCTATTGATGTGTTATCTATTGACATGTTTTGATTATTGCTAATTAAAGTTGGAAACATCATAATAATCTTGTTTGATGTCAAATTTAACTTTTAAAAGGAAAAAAGGTTGTTGAAAAACTGATTAGGGAAAAAGTGGTTATAGAAATTTTTAGTGCTTATTACCTGTAGTAGTTAAAGTAATGCTTCAAATTCGTTTTGAGATTTAGGGGTAATCTCTGGATTTGTGTGATATATATGATTAAAACAACACAATACATTGATTTTTAAAATAATTTTACAGGGATTGTGACGTTTTACGTTGCTTTGTGAAACAAAGTGTATTTAATAAAATCTTTTGTGTTAATTTAAAATTTCAAAGTATATTAAAATAAGTTTAATTCAAAAATATTTGTATAACATTAACAAAATAACTGTTTTTGAAACTGGTAGTTACTTCGATAAAAAGTTGTTAATTAGTATTCTAATAAATAAATGAAGGGAATATTTAAATTTGAAAGAACCTTTAGGAAGTTGTAAGGTTCTTAGCTCTGTCCTATCTTGTCATAAAAATCTGAGTTTCTTACAGCTTACTGAAAAAGTTTCGAAGTTAAATATCAGATCATATAAAAATATTTTAGCTTATTTTTATAACTTTTTTTTATGAAACTTGATGTATTTTTAAAGGGGTTACCTTTAGTAATGGATATTGAAAAATTTTTTTTTTTCAAATTTTATTTCTGATAATAGATTCTTAATTGTCAATAGATTTAAGCATATTTGGACGATCAATATATTTAACATTAATTGCCCGGCGGTCTCAAAAATTTGCAGGCACAAGGTTTCTGAAAAGAGGTACAAATGATAAAGTAAGTATCTTTTCCATTATCACTAATTGTTTTAATAATCTTTCAATAAAATTTTTGGTGCATTTTGAATGTTATCTTTGACAAAATTTTTAAGTTTCAATACTTTAAAATTATTTTTAACTAGATGTATTGTTGGATATTTTGATAGTTCTAGTGTATTTACTCATTTCCTTTTATGTAGTAGCTTTTAACCTTTTTTATTTAATAATGTATATTAAAATCTACCATTTTCTACATTATAAGGTCATTTTATATAATGACTCCACCTTTAAATTGGAAAACATGGTAAATCAAGGATAGGAATTAAAAAATATATATAGGAAATTGAAGTGTTATTTAATAATCTGAAAGGCAGAACTATAGGTCTGGAAAACCTGATTATTTTTCAGTTCAGATTATTTAAAAAATAAATGGAAAAAAATTGTTTAGACTCCTTTTTTAAACATCTTTGAATTTGTTTCCAATCAAAATTATAAATTTTGGTTGAGAGAATACAACATAAGGGAAAGAAAACTTTTTTTTCTGTTACTTGATTACATGCTTATGCTGCATAAGGATTTATTCAGCTTTTTTTAGTGTCAGCTCATTCAAATTAAGTTAGAGTGACATAAAGTTTTTATGTATAATTTTTAAACACCTTTTCAAATTTCTCTCTAAATTCTGCTTTTGCGCCACAACGAGTAGTCATTGAGGTCCAAGTAAATAATTCTGACATTTATTAAAATTATTTCTCCAAAAAATTTTACTAAGGAACTATTTCATGCAGAGGCAAATCCAGATGTAAGTTTGTACAAAAAATTTTAAACAAGTTTTTGCTATTGTATATTTATATATTGAATAAAGCATAATGTTTTCTGAAGACAGCTTTTTCTTTTTGTCATAATTATTATGTAGAATTTTATAGAAATTTTCTTGATAAGCCTGAAAAACTGGAGTTTTTTTCCTCTTAAAATTATTGAGATTCCTAAACTAAATTATTCTTTTAAAAAAGTGGTTTGACTTTTCTAGGGAGATGTAGCAAATGAAGTTGAAACAGAGCAAATTGTGTTTGATTCCTCAGCTTCATCATTTACTCTTGGCCATTTCACATCTTTTGTGCAAATGAGAGGCTCCATTCCATCTCAGTGGTCCCAAGATATCTCTAAAATGGTGCCGAAACCACCAATCACATGTAAGTTTCTAATTAATTTTTACCTAATTTTGAATCAAACTATTCTATTTGGATAAAGTTAAAAAAAAGAAATAGTTGTTCAAATTTACATTTCCACAGAGTTAGAAACTATAGTAAGAATTGTTTAAATTCGTTATACCTACTAACTATAAGACTGCAGGTGAAAATTGAAGCAAAATATTTTTTATTTAATTCTGTTGAAACTTTTACAATTCTCTGATGAATTTGTTATGAATTTTGCATGGATTTTATAATTTTAATCTATAATCATACAGATTTAAATTCTTCCTTTTCAATGTTTTTTCACATATTGCGCAGTGGGATGGGATAAAATACATCATTTTAGCAATATATTCGTTACTGATTTGCCTCTAATCACGACAAATAATCATTTTTCAAATGTTGTCTGTTGTTTTAATATGATTGCAATCCTATAACTACATAATAAGAAAAATATTATGGCCTTAACAAGCAAAAGTAAAAATCCAATTTTGCTACCATAATTTTGATGCTAAATCACAAAAAAAAGATATATAAGTAACTAAATAATAATAATAATAAATGAAAAATAATTGAATAAAAAAATACAGCAATAAATGATAATTTTAATTATGAATTTATCCGAAAATATTTAAGCGTACAATGTATTTGGTGAGATAAAATGTTTGTTACTTATTTATTATTAATTTCTTAAATTAAATTTTTTACTTTGTTTTTAAAATATTACATTCAGTTTTGTTAGGAATAGATTGTATATCTTATATCAAGTACCCATTGTGAAATATGAATAGAACCCTATTTCATTGAATGTCATAAGTGTGTATGAACACTTTTGAGGGCCTCTATATATTATCTTGTTTCAAATCTGGCATTTATGTTAAAATTTAATTGAACGTATATTTCTTATTTCTAGTGGATATTGCTGATCCCTTTTGCTTTGTTGCTGGCCAACATTTTAACAGTCTTTTGCAGCGATATGGATCACCAACTGTTGTTTTAAATTTAGTTAAAAAACGAGAACAGAAGAAACACGAAAGTATCTTAAGTGAAGAATTCAGTGGTGCAATCAATTACCTTAATCAATTCTTACCAACTCAGCATCAAATCATGTACATTGGATTTGATATGGCCCATATAAACAAATTGTAAGCTTTGTTTTATTATAGAAATAATTATTTTTATTCACTTGAAAATTAATGCATGTTAGAAGGAGATTGCATAAACAAAAAATTGTGGCTTTGGAAATTTGTGAATAGGAAAAAAAAAGATTGTGACTGATTAAGCTTCACATTAACATAACAACCAACATTTTAGTTTTGTGTGAAGTATTTTTTTCATGTGGTAGTGAACTAAATTAAGTTTTTTTAAAATTTTTTAAATGGTATTTTTAAAAACCTATCATTATTGCAGAACATGACTATTTGTTTATCTGTTATTTTATATAAATGTTTAGATTATTTGTAGGTTTTGATGGGTAAAATTCTTTCTATGCTAATTCATTTATGTCTGTATGCATTGCCTCTTGAACCACTATAAAAAACATTTTCTAAAACTATGTAAATTCCATAGTAGTTGGAGCTGTATAAATGTACTAAAAGCTATTATTTTTTGTTATAAATTGATATAAAATTATTAGGTATAAACCAGATTAAATAGGAAATTTTATATTTAAAACAGCTAGAGATTAATCCTATTTGATGCCCGTATAAAAATTTATAAAACGAAGTTGTAGCAGTGCTCTTTAGTTAACTTTTTTTTAGTTATAGTGAATTCTGCTGTGAAATTGTAAAAACAACTAACTTTAACTTTTATCAGTTTACTGGTAAACCAATCGGTATGAAATCATTTAATTAGAACTAAATGTTGTAGATCAAAATTTCAAATGAAATAGCTAAGTTTGTTTAAATATCTGATCAATGTCATCAATTTTGATCAATGTCTTTGCTGTTCATTTTTACACATTAGAATCACATAAAATAGCGCTTTATAGTATACATCAAAATCTTATTATAGCGACAGTTCATAATACCAGATGAAATTGCTGTTATAGCAAGCTTTACTTAAAAGCAAATACACATATTTATTATTAAAATGATAATAAAAATTCTATGAAAATGAAAAAAGAAATATTTATATCTTTTTCATTTATTGTAAACAAATATCTTGTCTTAAAATGTATATCTAAAATAAACTGTTTATGATTACAGATTGTAGATTGAAATATGACTTTATGAAGGGTAAAAATTTCTAAAACAGGAATGTTTGAGCAGCAGGTTCTTAAATCCTAATAAGTTCTTGCGAAAAAGAAATGAAATGCTATACCTGTTGACATTATTGATAACAGTAAATAATTGTGGATTATACATTACTTTATAAAAATAAGGTGTTGAAATTTTAGTAAGAAAACACTGTTCCTTTTTAATTTATCTGTATTGATACCGGAAATAAAAACAAATTGTTTCCCTTTTAATCTTTTTCAAGTAAAATGTATTTCCCTAAATTTTTTTTGTCATAATAGTGAAAGGGTGGTAGTTTTTAATTTGTTATAAATATATGATTTTTTAAAGTATAATATTACTTTTTTAATGGTAACTTAGAAATGTGTCGCAAAAGCTGACTTTTCAGAATATGCTGTATTACAATCTTTTATTGTTGTATTTAAAAGTTTTTTTTATTGATATTTCTCCTCAATGTATTACTAACTTTCTCATTGTTTGACGAGAGGGGAAACTAGTCTTTATTTTCCTGAGTTGAATCAATTTATTATTGACTTACATAACATTATATTAATAATATAGTTCCTTGCTACTTTAAAGTAACTGTTTTACAAGGTAGCCATAGAGTATGAAAATCTTTGAGAAAAAGAAAAAATCAGGTTATTCAATTCAAATTTTCTTAAAATCGGTGAAATTAATTAATTTGGCTTTGAGGTATCTATAATACCAAACATTTACCTGCAAATATTGAGTTTGTAATAAAAAAATTGAGTATTTTCAACTTTATAATAACAAGTATTAGTACTTTGTTGCATATTTTCTGCATAATAATAATGTATAACTGAAAATAATTTTATAATAGAATTCATGTTACTGGTTATAAGAATCAGTGAAATTCCAAAAATTATTCGATAAAAATCAGGGTAGATTAATTTCTTTTGAGTGTTTGTGGCCAGCTTGAGTTTATTTATTTGTATGATACTTTAAGTGAGATAATAATTTTGTTGAGGTTTTCTTTAGGAAATCAAAATTGTTTTTCAAATGAGCTGATCGGAAAATTAACTTAATTTGCTAATATGAATTGCAAATATTTTTAATAGGAAAGAAGCTAGTGTCATGCCAAGACTAGCCCAAATAGCTTATCAAGTTTTAGGCAAGATTGGTATATTTCACAACAGACCCGAATTTTACTGTCAGTCTATTCATCATCACAGCTGCAAGGGATGCAGCCTGGGAGGTTTCAAAAGAGAAGATAACTCCAGGCTGCAAACCGGTGTTGTCCGAGTCAACTGTGTCGACTGTCTCGATCGCACAAACACAGCACAATTTGCATTTGGGAAGGCTGCTCTAGCATTTCAGGTGCCTATAACATTGCTTACCTAAATTTTTTTGACTTATCAAAAGTGTTGGCTTCAGTACGTTTTATCAGACTTTTTTCTTTTTGTGAGAAAATATAACATAATGCACAAACAAAGAACCATTTGCATTTTAGAATACTGCACTAGCATTTCAGGTGCCTATAAAATTGCTTACCTAATTTTTTTTTCTTACTAAAAGTTCAATATTGTTGGTTTCAGTAAATTTTATCAGACTGTTTTTTCTTTTTATGAGAAACTGTAACATAATGCATAAACGCAGCACAATTTGCATCTGGGAAGGCTGCACTAGCATTTCTGGTTTCTATAAAATTACTTACAGAATTTTTTTGTCTTTTTTCCTCCTTTTATCAGAAAATTTGCATTTAAGTAATGGTTATGTGACTTTGAATATTAATCTAAACTTTAGAAAATTGTATTCTTGCTTTTTAATAGGTAATATTGTAATCCTTTATTGTCAATGATTTACCGATCTTTATTCTTGCTGTTTTCTGAGTTTTTATAGTTTCTTGTTTTCTTACTGTCAATGAATTTAATGTTACCTCTATTTTATTTACTTCTTCCATTTTTTTGTAGACATGATTTATTTTTTTAAATGTATGTATTAAAGTGTAATTTCATAATTTGATTTAAAAATATTTATGTTTGATGCTGTATTGACTCAAATATATATATCATTATACTTTGATCTGTTTGTTCCGTGCTTTATCACTCTTTATTTGCTTTGTTTTTAAACTATTTATTCTCACTTTTGTATTTTTTCAAATTCAAGTTTTATTTTCATTAATACTGTTCTTTTATTTATTTATTTTTATTTTGTACACAATAGAGGTATTAAATTTGTGACTAAATTCAAGAGCAAGTTGTATCAAAGCATTTGGGACTATATTTTCAAAATATAGTTCCAAAAGTTGAGGGGAGAAATATTGCAATAAACACTTAATTATTACATTGTATTGGTTTTAGAAAGTTAAATGGTTTCCAATTTATTTTTTTAAAATAGTTATGTACTGAAACAGGTGCTATCCAAATAGAGAGATTAATAAAATAAAGTTTGTGCTTTTTCAAATAATTACAAGTAATTTAATGTAATTATTCTTTTGAAATGGCTTATTCCTAATTCATGGTTTATATTTTCTTTATTTTTAGTTGTATGTTCTAGGAGTTGTCGAAAATCCAAAATTGGAGTTTGATACTGACAGTATACGGTAAACTATTTATTGAAAGTTTATGTGAGTTTAATGCTTGTGTGATATTTGATGTAACGGAGTGGTGAATGATTGATTTAGGTGAAAAAAAGTTTTATTTGATTTGTGGTAATTTTAAAAAGGATGCTATACCACTGGAAAAATATTTTATTGAAAATTTTGTTTCACCTCCATTAATATTATGTGTTATATGGGTCAGAGTGTATGGCAGTAAAAGATGTTAAAAGTGCAGTGACAAACAACAAACCTAAAATTCATTTATTATGTTAACTGACTTAATAGAATATGACATAAAATAATATGACAGCACAGAACAAACCGTTAACAACATTACATGTTGTAAATTCAAAATCCATAATAAAGGTGACGCCACAATCAGTGTAGGTGTATGTATTTTGGATTATGCCCGTAAAATGGTGGTCTGAGTGTGTCTAATGTGAGCATTGATTTTTTATATTTTCCAACATTTTAAAATTTAAGGGTTAAAGAAAAGTAAGTTTAGGAAATCTTAGATTAAATGGAGTTTCAAATATTTAGTGTAATTCTAAGTATTCCTGCATTTTGTTATTTGAAATTTTTTTCTGCGTTTGAAACTCTGGGTTTATATTCTGTTTACTTTTATAATTATTTTTATGAATAAAATTTATAACTCTGGGTTTACCTGAATTCATTTATTTCAAATTTAAATTTGCTTATGTAAGTGAAAAGAGAATTTGCCAAGCAGGGTTCCTTCCATTGTATAGCCTCCTCTTAACAAGACATTGTAATATTCTCTAATTTCAGTGCTTAATTTAAGTTAAAGTTATAGAAGTTGTGAAATCTTGAATTCTGCTGTAGAGAATGTTAGAAAGTGACGAAAAAAATGTTTAAACTTTAATAATTTAGTAAAGAGTCGTCAAATTGCGATGCTTATTATGTTCCATTGGGCTTTTTCTTTAAGCAAAAATAACTTCTTAAACAAAAGTTACGGTAACTTCTTACCAAAAGCACAGACTAAGTTCTAAATTATTGTCCGTTTTATCTGTTAGTGAGAACAGAGAAAACCTGGAATTACCAAGGAATTTTGTTTTGACTCTAAAAAGCAGGGAATAGTCAGGGAAAGTTGCATTTTTTTAAACAAAAATGTGGAAAATTTCTGCATCATACGTGAAAAATAACATGTGTCAGAATTGTCAGTAACAGTAATCAGTAATTGAGATTTAATTTTAATAATTCTAAGATTAGATTAGATTATGTAAGCATCTATTACAATTATTTATTGTGAAAATTCTACATTTTACTGTAACTTTTCCATGTTTTCATCCTCCTTTGATGATATTTTTTTGCTTACATAATCTAATATTTGACATAATAAAAAAAAAATCAAAGTTTTTTGATAAAAAAAAATTGCATGGTGTTAGATAAAATATGGCCAGGATTTACATTAAAATTCTATTGAAATACCTTGAAAAGTCAGGGAATTTTCTTTCTTTCTGAGATTAAGTGGGAACTTTTGATCCAGAGGAAGGTTTTCTTCAACTAAGAAATTCTTTTTGTGTGTGTCATTTTTAGTATGCTGGAGGAACTGTATGAAGATCATGGAGATACACTGGCTTTGCAATATGGTGGATCTCAGTTAGTACACAGAGTGAAAACTTACAGAAAAATAGCTCCTCTCTCTTCTCATTCTCGCGACATTCTACAAACTTTGTCAAGATATTACAGCAATACGTTTTCAGGTATTCATATCCTGTTCTCTTACTACTATAGCTTTAAATTATCTTCTAGTTGATTTTAGTAATTTTCAATTCATTTTCTATGAAAAGTATGATTCAAATAACAGTGTTATACCTAAGCGCTTTTTTAAAGGCAGTCGGCTTGCTTTATAATCCGAATAAATGCACCCTCTTTGCCCTTTTTGTAAAAGTTAGCTGCTATCCCTTAAAAACACTGCCTTTTTATTCAGATTCCATTTTGAAAATAATAATTACACACTGGTGAAACTGTCTGTGTCTATAGGTTTAATTCTGATTACTGTTCCAAATATGTACATTGTTAGGATTATTTTCAACTAGTTAAATTTTTATAAAAACTTTTTTTTTTGGAGAGGGATATTAATCATTTTTTGAAGTGATTTTAAATTTAAAAACAATTTTTTTAATAAATACCCTTTTTTTTAAAAAAAAATGTGTCTTGAAATGTTTAAAAATATAAATAATTTTCAGTTTTAAGATATAGAAAAAAGCTTTCAAGTTGTTTATAAATTAATAATTTTTTGCTAGTATATTTTTTAAAAATAAAATAAGCACAGAGATTGCCTTTTAGCATGCCTTTAATTATTTTTGCAAACAACAAATTTTTCTCACATTTTGATAATGAAAAAATTTGAAATATACTCATAAAATAGTATGAGAGGATAATTTAAAAATTTTGGAGCATAAAACTCGGTTATTTCATAATATTTTGCATTCTCATAAATATTTACGTTAAGTGAGTGCCCCTTTTGGGGAGGAAGCACCCTATCCTTTTTTTATTTCTAGGGAGAACTCTGCAATTATTTAAAAATTTTAATGTTTGATGTAATAACTGATTCTATCTCTGAATTCATTGATGTGTTATGTAAACACTTTTAAGCGAGTTTTTGCAGTTTTAATTTAAGGTCTGGCTACTAATTATTCACTGGCCTAACTTGTGTCATTAAACTCTAATTATACTACTAATTACTGATTGACCTCTCTAGTGCAATTAAACTCAAATTGCATTACTAATTTGACCAATCTCTCTTGTGTCATTAAATTGTAGTTGCGCTATTAATTATTGACTGGCCTCTTTTGTGCCCTTTAATTCAAAAAAATTAAAAAAAAATTTATTATGATTTCTTCTCTTATTAAAATTTTAAATGAACCATTAACCGCTTGCGCAGCTAAACCGAAATTGCTGTGATTTTTTTTTGTTTATTGTTTTTTTTTATGCTGATAGTTTTTAGAAAATGTAACCATGCATATTTGCACTGATTTTTTTTATATTTTAGCATAGTCGGGTATAGCCTGGGTGGTAGGGCCCATGTCCAAGAATCGGTTGGTTCTATCCCAGACGGGCCAAAGACTCCCCGTGTAGTTAAAGGTGACTGATGCACGCTAAATCTGACGAGTCCCAAAATCCTCCATCTTCCCATAACAAATCAATAACTCTGGGGGTACTGATCCAGGAGTTTCCTTGTCTTCTGGATTGGTTCAAAATTACAAGAATACGGAGTTGAACATTAGTAGTAGTAAACCCAAAATTGGGTCAGCTGTTCAACCACGGATATAAAATAAAATATATTTTAGCATAAAAATCCTTGATGTTTAACAAGTTTAAAATATGAATTATTTTTTTTACTGTTTCAGATGCTGATAAACAAAATGCCATAAACTTATTTCTGGGTGTTTATAAGCCAAGTAGAGCAATGACTCCCATTTGGGAATTAATGACTGACTTCTACCTGCACAATTCATTAGCAGCTGGAGAAAGAATTTGTCACAGAAATTTGTAAGCAATTTAGATCTTAACTAGTTAGAGAATGTAATATTTAATTATTTATTCAAGATAACGAAAGGACAAAAAATTAAAAAAAAAAATTGTCCTTTTTTTCTGGTTTTTATTATTATTATTATTTTCCTTCCCCCCCTTTTTTTCATTGCTCTGTAATTTTTCCCTTGTTTTCTCTACATTTTGAACTTACATACAGTAGAGCGCCAATTATCCAAACTGCTCGGGACCGAACGTGGTTCGGATAATGAAAAGTTCGGATAGTTGGAAAGTTGTTTAAAATCTAATTTAAATTATTATTATTTATGCACTAACTTCCCTTCACACTTTTTCCAGGTTCGGGACTGGCAGTATTTTCTAAAATTGCTCTGTTTAAAAGTTTTTTTTTTCAATTTTTAAATATTTTTTCCTTTTTTTTTCTTTACTTTTCTTTATTTTGAATTTCTTTTATCATATTTCAACATTTTATAATTTCTTTTGTAAATTACTGATTTTACCACATTTTTCTTTATTTTCTAAGGCAAAAGAAATCCAACAAAGACTTTTGTTTCAAAGAAGATGCTCTTTTTTCAGCAACCATATCCCTTATTCTTTTTAAATAAATCAGCTGAACTGGATCAACATCATTTAGACGTTCTAGCAATATCTAATGGATTGCATTTTTCTATATGAGAATTTTCTATATGAGAAGGTTCATTATCTTGAACTTGATCACCTACTTCTTCCTCTTCATCCATGGAGTTCTGATTTTCATTCAAAATTTCAGCAACAATTTCATCATCATTTAAAATTTGATATCCTGAGACGTTTTCAGTGTCTTGACGCCAGTCTTCTATTTTTTCTGCTGCATAACCTGTCATCTTTTCAGCCGGTAGATCTACTGGTTCAGAAATTTAAAAAAATTGTTGATAAGTTGAAAAGTATTCTAAACTTTAAAAAAAAAGCGAATTCAGACATAGTTCGGATAATTAGACGTTCGGATAATAAGGGTTCGGATAATCGGCGCTCTACTGTATGTATAAAGTAAAACTTTTCTGCAACAATATTTTAGGAACCAAAGAAATGTAGTGTTGTAGAGGAATATATTATTATATCGAGGGTCTACATACTTTGGGGAAGCAATAAGATTTTTTTTAAATTTTAATATTATATATGTATTAACTATAAATATATGTATATATTATATAAAAAATGTAATTTGCAGAATGTTAATTATGGTAAAATATGAAATCAGATATGTAAATATGAAATCAGTGACTTCTTAAGAGATAAGGGAGGCAATTCTAAGAATGGAAGGTCTTGAAGTGGTCTATGTGCCTCAAGGATTTGGTATTGAAATCTGAATATGAGAGCCCCTCACTGCGGTGAAAAGAAATAAGATAAGTACATAATCAGCAGTGAGTCCGAAGAGTTGTCAGAAGAGACCGAAAAAAAGCAAAATATGATAAAATGAGCTTTTTTACATTATTTGAAAACTAATATTAAATTGTGAAAATAAAGTTGAAATTTGAAAAAGAAATCATTTTACAAGAGTTTATTGCTTCAGGGAATATCGCAATATGGTGAGAAGGATGACATTGATTCATGTGCAAACTCGTCGGGACCAGGAGGCATTATTTTAATAGAGGGAGCTATTGTTGTATCGGATATCGTAGTAGCTAGAGTTCACTGTATATATATACTGAAATATTGAGAAAATAATAAATAAAAAAATAATGATGAGAGCAGAAAATAATGAAAGATATTTTTCAAAAGTATTTAAAAATATATATATTTATATAAGCTAAAATATTGAGAAAATATGGAAAATAATAAAATATAATGACGAGAAGAAAATTATTAAAAATAATTTTTCAAAAGTATTTAAAAAAATATAATTTTCGATATCTAAAAAAAAAGAAGAAAGAAATTAAATATCCGGAAAACAAAACAAAGAAAAGATTCTCTTCATCAGCCCACACGATTATATCCGCAAAAGGAGTGCTTTCTAATATTGTATTAATATAGTCAAAGCAAAATATATCAATACAATAGTGTGAGGAGTATGTGGAGTAAGTGAAAAATATATAGGAAAAAACAAACAAATATATCAAGCAAAAACCAGAAAATAAAATTCAAAGAGATTAGAGAACGGTACTCGAAAGGAAATCTACATAGTGAGGAGCGAATAATTATATATATATATATACAATATACATATATATACAAAAAAATTATTAAAAATACGGAAAACAAAATAAAGAAAAGATATCTCTTCATCAGCTCATACAATTATATCTGCTAAAAGGAGTGCTTTCTAATATTGTATCAATATAGTCAAAGCGAAATATGTCAATACAATAGTGTGAGGAGTCTTCATCATTGTTATCTATTTTTTAAATTGACAATTGGATTATAGTTTAATTTGTATCACCAATGGTGAATAGTTTTGTGTTGAGTTATGCTGTGGAATCGTGAAAATATGATGAGTTTTCTATTAAAATTATTTTCTTTGATGGTTGTTATAGGCTTTTCAGGAGGAAAAAAGTTTTGATTAGCAAAGATATTGTACATTGCGGGCTTAGTTGCAACTTTGAATTTTATTTCTAAAATATAAAAATGTATGCATCACTTTTCCTGCAATTATTTAAAATAATGCAAAAACTAAAATAGATAAAAACTAAATAAAGTCAATAATCAGCAAAACTGCCATTTGATTCTGTTTCCCTAGCTGTTAGAGATAATTTTTCTCAAATCACAACTGAAGTAGATATTTATGGTATTTATATAGATAATATATATGTCTGGTTGAAGTTCATATATATTAATATGTCTGTTTGTTGAAGTTCTGAAATCATTTAAATGTCAGTTGTTTATTTCTTTAAAAAAAGTGTTTAGTCCATTTCAAGCTTTCTAGTTAAACCTGGGGACTTGTTAAATAAGTCCTTATAATAAATTAGTTCTTTTACATTTTTGTTTTGTTTTGTTTGTACACTGTAAATTTCTTGTTGTATGCTACTTTTTTAAAATTTGATATTTTTAATATTTGTAAATGAAAATTCACATTGTATGTTACGTATGTTTGGAAAGATTTTGAATTTTGAAATTTTGCAGGTATACATGTTGGTGGGATGAAAAAGTTATGGATGTTCTTCCTTTTCCTATTATTGAAGGTATTTGAATTAGATTAGAACTTTTAAGTTTTATTATGATAGAAATTGAGTTATGTAATTTTCAAAAGACCTAAAAAAGTTAGCTTACTCTATTCATAGTTTTAAGGTTTTTATTAAAACTATACAAGGTTTTCAATGGATCAGGGAAACCTGGAATTGTCAGGGAGTTTGATTTGCAGATAAAAAATTAGGGAATAATACAATTTCAGGCAAAACCCAGAAATATCTCTCGCTGCAAATCTAGAAAATAATCAATTTCTAAATTGACGGTAACAATAAATAGCGCCAATGATGTTCAAAATGACTAAGTATAACATCTATTTTATTATTTTTTGTAAAACTTCTTCTGCAGCATGGATAAATTTTTTTTAGAATTATTAAAGTTGAATAATATGTTAAAAAGAAATTTAGCATTACTTAAAATTTTCTTGTTCCAATTTTTTTTTTCTCTATATAACCATATTTGCTATTTAATAATACTAAGTTTTTAAAAGTTAAGTTTTCTGTATAAATTAATTTTGGTTTTTAATCATAAGTAATATATAAGATGGTTGACTATATGAATCATGTGACTCTTAATAAATTGTTTCATTGAAATTTTAACTGTTCTCTATTGTTGTGCAAAATATTGCTTTTATCTGTAATTTATATACTTAAGTATTTTAAATAATACATGTTAAACCTTTGCCTAGTAATATATTTTTTTTTTTACAAAATGTAATGTTTGGCATATTTTCTATTGAAATGTAAATTTTATTGCTTATTGAATAAAAGAAAATTATATTTCTGATGAAATATTGGAATATATAAAAAATGTATTCAAATATTGTTGAAATTTTACTGAAAAAATCAAGGAATTTTATTTCTATTATTATTAAATATAACTGGTAAACCAGCTGTCTGCAGCAAACACTGTAACTTAGTCAATCAATGAAAAGCTCATAGAAAATTACATTAGGCAAGTTTAACTGTGCATTCACTTAACTTTTATAATTATTGTTATGAAAGATGTATATTATACTTATATTTAAATAAAAACAATCTAAAAACAGATTAAACATTAAACAACTATAGACCAAAATCGAAATTTGAAATTCAGATGGAGTGTAAGTGACATTTTTATTCCTCAAATAATTTTGTGTGACTTTGTTTCATACTGTTAGGTATATTAATCGAATTTAATTTTATATTCATGTTTCTTTTGATGTTAAATTAAACAAAATGAGTTCTTTTTTACTTTTATACATTGCATCAAAATAAACATCAGTAAAATTTAAAAAACTATCAATAAAATGTACGTTTAAATAAGTGTTCTAGAATTATTAAATTTCAATCTCTGAAAGAGGAATAGAATATATCGAGAGCCCAGCAAAGTTCTGACTAGTTTCAAAATTAAAAATCTCAGAAACTAAGTTTCATAGAGGATTTTATTTTACAACCGTCATTGAAGAGCCGACCCAATTTTCCGGTTTACAACTACTAATGTTCAACTCCGAAGCCTTGTAATTTTGAACCCAATCCAGAAGACAAGGGGACTCCTGGATCAAGCAGTGGGAGAAATTTTGCTTTCGTGAAGTACTTTTTGATGAAACTTACCCGCATTTGCATTACTTTGAGAGTAACCTCCCATGGCTAGCCTGATGGCAAGGGGACTCTAACCCATGATTCGTCTACCACTGAAGATCTTTCAAATCAGCACTCTGGTTGGTGCAAGCCAAATGGTGAATTCGTAACGACCAGCCATCGCTGGGATTCGTACCCAGTTCACTTTATAAGAAGGCAAACGCTCTATCCCCTGAGCCATCCCGACTTTTGATAGAGGATTGTAACAAACAGTTTGTTTAGTGTGAACATTATAGAATTTTTATTCTGGAATTTGAGAATTTACTTACAGAAATTGCTAATAGATGGCCATTGGTGGTCAGTTCAATTTGTTCTAGCATTAAAACATGAAAGGACATTCTTGTGCCAAGTTAAGAGGTTTAAACAGGGCTCGAAAAAACTCAGAAATTTTACCCGTCCCCGAGGACGGCTTGTCCAACAATGTACCCGTCCTCCTTTGAAACTAACCCTTAAAACTTCTAAATAAATAAAAATATTATTTTCTCTTATTTATTACAAACATTTATATAAATTGCACAATGAATTAGTAGTTACTAGGATTACAAATGCTAAGATTACATTATACAGTAATAAAAGAAATACTAGGTTACCAATAGTAACCTAGTATTTCTTTTATGAAATAATTGATTTCTTTTATGAAATAATTTAAATGACAAAGGTCAAGTTATCTGGAATGTCAATTTATCCGAGGGTACTGAGTTTTTTAAATGAATCAAATATGACGTTTGTCAGTTCCACAATCAAGCCAATGATTTACAGAGGTTTCTGCACAGAAATCTGAAAGGGGTTTTCCATTTAAGTAGATGTTCTTAATTGCGTTTAACGCTTCTTGTTTAAGACCAGTACGTAATGTGTTTTTTTTGTAAGTTCATCGCTGAAAAACCCCTTTTCAACCGCTGCAGTCCTCACAGACGGAGAAAACATCAATTCCACCATGCGCAGTATGTTGCTGTATTGTGGGACATTTTGCTACATTTGGTCTGACGAAGGAATAACAGGATTTCTAGATTAGAGGGTCATTTTAGAAGTGAGGCGCTACGCTAGACTCTTGTAAGATAGCAAAAATTTAGAATGTATCACAAACATTAACGAGAAAATGGCCGTCCGCACGGACGTCAGATTCGAGGAATTCATTGTCCGCGGGGAATTTTTGACCGCCGAGGACTGGAGGACGGGCGGTTTTTCTTTATATTCTTTTCAAGAACTCTGCGCAGAGCACACGACCATATTTTGGTAAATTTTGTGACTTATTTTAAATATTGACTGCACAACACTTTTAAAGCTTTTAGAATAGACATAGCGTTTTTTTTTCATTCCTAATGAGCCTTTCTTTATTTCTCAGAGTTTTAATTTTGAAATCAGTCAGCAATTTGCTGGACAGTAATTTTAATTATTGAATGTTTACTCTTTTATTTATGTATTAGAAAATTCATAATTTCAGAGCATGTCATTAGGAAGTTTGAGAAAATAAATGTAATTTGAAATTACTGTTTTGATTAATAAAGTTGCATTTTGAAATTAATTCTGATTGATGATTTGTAGACAAGAAAGAGTTAGAAAATTCCTTGGCTGAAATAATCAAAACATATCCTGCTGATCCAAGGACAGATGGTTTTTTCGATCATTATCGACCTTTTGAGATGACATCCATCACAGATTTGCTTGCCTACACCATGAATCATTCAATGAGGTATTCAAACACAATAAAGTATTTTATAAATTAATAAATCTCTTTATTTTAACACCATTCTCAGCTGAGTTTGAAATTGCTGTACTCTATTATTATTTTTTTTTAGTCAAATTGATTGATTGAATGAGGTTTATTACATCAATGAGCTCATGCTTTAATTGCTTTGAACAGCAACTTTTTTGATTTCTAAGTCCCAAACTTAAATTTCTTTTAGCAAGTATAGCATATGATCAGCATCTTTTCACTTTTAGTGTAAAATCCATATTGTACAGTATAACAAAACTAAGCCTAAAATCATGTAATTGGAACTTTCGGAAGTTAATTATAATATTTATTTTTAAAATGATTAGTAGACTAAAAAATTTTAGCTTTTTTATTTTCAGTTAAATCTAGATTTTTCAAGCAAATCAATTAAGGGGGTGCTAATTGATTGCTCTACCTGTATAGTCTTAAATATGTCTTTGCATTTAATTTAAGGAAAATTAAATGCATAGCCGCCCACTCTACTTGTTTTTCCAGTATGCTACAGGATTTAGCCAGTTTCTCCTGGTCTACTGGTTTTATAAAAGTTCTCCAGGTTTTTGTATATTTTAGAAAATTCCCTAAAATTGAGTAAGTCTCCTTAAAAAATCCCCATTGAAATAGAATTTTGGCGCAGATTATTACTTGCTTGAATATATAAATAAGTGTTACTGATACATAATGAAGCGAGCGTTATTTATAAAAGTCAGATTAAAACTCTTTTTGTTCTAAAATGTTAAGCTTGTTTTTATTCTGAACTCTCTTTTTAAATTAATTAAATATTCTTTTAACTATCTTTGGTGAATTAAATGCCTTTTACTATTCAAAATTATGAATAAACATAATACATAACACTTCAGGTTCATTTAATTTTGTTCATAATTGAAAAATATTTCAGTTTTTCTATTTTGATGACTATAAAAATCCCTACAATTCCCTATGAGTAAAATATTTGGTACATTTTGCGTCAATTATCATGAAATTTATATTAGTTCGTAAAATGTACTGGATTTTTCCCTATCCTTGTTGGCAGCTATGTAAATGAAATATTTAAAAATAGCTTTTTGTATTATTATTTCTATTTCGATGACTATAAAATCTCTACAATTCGCTATGCATAAAATTTTAGTACATTTTGCTGCTATTATCATGAAATTTATATTATTTCGTAAAATCTAGTGGATTTTTCCCTATGCATGTTGCCAACTATGTAAATGAAATATAAAAAAAAAAGCTCTTTTATATTGTTATTTTTAGTGTCAATTGATTTTAGTTCATTTTCTGAATATTTTTGTTTAATTTTCTCAAACTTATTTGGTTTTTTAGAGACATGATGCCCAGTTTCTCATCAGATTTCAGCCCATTTGCTGTGCGCGTGAGGCCTGGCAGGAAGCGTGAGAGTGTGGGAGAAACACCCCCAAACCCTTCAGTGACTGGAATCTCCTCTACAGCTTCTGCGTCTAGCAGTACAAGTGGTACAGATACGGGTGATGACTCTGACAGTGAGGATAACTTTGTTCATTTGGATAGTGAAGATTCCAGCTATTCACTCTCATCTTCTCGAGGAGCAACATTTGAAGTGAGAATAGTTTTTTATTTCTCCAGTTATTAAATTGATTAGTAGGGCTTGCACTAGTGACTAAAATGTGACTATCGGCTTCTAAAATGAAGGTTAAGTGACTATAGAAAGAATTATAGTCACTTAAGGAGGTTAAGTGACTATAATTTTAAAACCCAGCTAAAAAAGAGACTATTGTCAGAAAACTGGCAGATAGTATTATAGGAAATGCTACAATTTCAAGAAAATACTGTTATCAAGCCAATTAGTCAGACTTAATCTAGCTATGAAATTTATATTACAAAATTAGATTTCAGAAAAGCAAAGGAATATTTGTGGAAAAAAAGATAAGTAACCACTTAAAAAAATTATGTGAATTTACGAAGGTAATACCACAAATCAAGCACATTCAAAAGCTATAACTCAAATTCAAAATTTGCGTGTTTATCTCATCAAATTAAACATATTGATTTTTTTTTAAAAAAACGAAAATTTCAAAAAAAAGAAGAAAAAAACCTTCTGGGAATTGTAGCAAATTGACCATTTTCTGTTGAAATATCAATAAGAAATGATTGACCTATTTGAAAAGTTTAAAAAATCAAGAAAAGTGATATAAAAACATATGAAAAATAATTATCTATTGTTGAAAGCAATAGGAAAGTATTAAAGTTTATTTTCTTAGTTATGATCAACAATCAACAGATGTCCAATTTTATGACCAGTTCAAAATTTGATTAATACTCTGTAAAATATGGTAGATATTTTTTTAAAATACAAAAATGTCTTTCAGTTAAATTTTAAGAGACTTATTACTCTCACACATCTTCAGTTAAGAAGTATTTTGAATTTTTTTACATACATTAGTAATTATTATAAATGTATGAGCCTTGTTTCAACCAAATATTATTAAAGAATGATTCAAAATAATTATCAAGAACTTATCAGGGAAATGTGCAACTGTGTTTCTAGGAGATACCACTCTGATTTGATTTAATTAATTAGCAAAGATTATCAAAATTAGCCCTCTTTAAAATAATTTTATTTTTGTAAATGTTAAATAGTTTTTAAATATGATGTGATTTTTAAAATTTAATTTGTTAAGTGAAATGTTTCCATCCTTTGTGTAGAACATGTTTACAACAATGAAGCAAGTTTATGGAACAGAACTAAAAAATCCTTCAGAAAAGAGCATGAAGTTATACAAAAGGTAATTATAATTGTCTAAGTTTAATAATTATTTTAATGATAATTATTTTGTAATTATTTTATCGTGTCTAATTTAATAAATTTCTATCCTACAGAGGCATGTATTTAATATTGACTGAACGGTTTGCCTATGAATCAGGATTTGTACTGTTGCGTTCTAAGCATAAATGGCCCATAAACTTTTTTATGTTTAATGAAAAAAAGTCTAAATTCTTTTTCTAGTTGGCTTTTGTTACAATTAGTTGCTAATCTAATTCACTCTTTTGAAGAGTATCGAATTGTAGTAATTTTATTTTCAAGTTTTGCTGAAAGCATTGAGCCCAGTTTTTATGTGAAAATGTAATTAAAAAATTACTGGAATAATTTCCAAATTGAAAAAAGGTGTATAAAAGCAAATTACAACTTCCAAATTCTACTTACAGTTAATGTAGATATTTTATAGGTAACTTTTATAAAAAATAAATTTTTAAAATGTTCTAAATAATAACAAAAGCCAAGTTTTAGGATAAATGGAAATTTTCAATTTCTTGGTGTCTTTCTTTTCTGAGCCTAAGAATTTGATATGCTTTGTAATCTTGCAATCATAATTCTTTAAATTTATTTATATTAAATATTTTTATCTTCATTATTTGCATGTGAATAAGAAATTACCTATACATGTGTAAGTTGTTTATATTTTTCTTTCAATTAGGATTTAAGTATATTTTGAAATTTTACTATTAATTATTAATGTTGTCTGCACCATGGTATTTTTTAGTTTTTGTGGCCTGTTATCCAAAAATGGTTGTGTAGTGCACAAAATGAAAAACGGACCACCATGAGAAACTTTTGATCTAATGATTGTATTTTAACGCTCTTGAATTCAATCTTAATGATTCAAGGCGGTGATCTCAAATATGCTAATTAATTAATGCAGACAATAAATTTAAGTTACAAAATCAAACAGAAAAAAGTACTTTTTCTGAATAAACATCTCTTTTTTTGATGGATTCAGCCTTCTGACCCCCAAAATATAGGTAATAGGGTCCTAATAGTTTGGCCAGGAGAGCGGTTCAAAGTCTGGACCCCTTAATGTAAATTTTGTATTTTGGGTATTTTGCCATACCTCGGAAACATTTTAAGCGAACTGAAATTATTTTTACATATTACTATAAAATTCATTTATCCAAAGATAATTCAATGCAAAGTATCAATTTTAGTAAATATTTCTTATTTTTTATTATTTTATTTAATTATAGCCGAAATATTTTGAATTGTAAGGTATAAAATTTTTTACAACACTTTAAGGGATCTAATTTTACATAGCAAAATAAAAATTTTGAGCAAAATTGGTCGAATTTCTGAAAATTGAAAATACAGCTTTTTTAAAATTCAATTTCTCAAGAACTATCTTACCGATTTTGTTCAAACTTTGTATTTTTTGTTGTTTAAAAAAATTTTTTTTAATGATATAAAAAATACCCTACAATTCAAACTTTTTTTTTGACTGTAATTAAATTAATTATAAAAAATTATAAATATTTACGAAAAGTGATATTTTTCATGAAATTAGCTTTGTATCAGCTAATTTTAAAATTGTATGCGAAAATTTTTCAATTTGCTTAAAAAGTATTTAAGATGTGGTGAAATACACAAAAAAAATCACTAAGGGTCTAAAGTTTGGACTGTTCTCCTGAACAAAATATGGGGCCATATTTTGGATGTCAGAAATCTAAATCCGTCGGAAAAAAATTGTTTATTCAGAAAAAATATGTTTTTGGGTCTGATTTCGAGAGTTAAAATATCTTTTGCTCTAATTAATTACCATATTTGTAGTCATCCCCTCGAATCATTAAGAGTTAATTATAGAAGGTGAAGATCCAATCATTAGATCAAAAGATACTCAAAGTGGTGAGTTTTTTATTTTGGCCACTGTACATCCATGTTAAGAGATGATGTATATTTAAAATAAATAATGCATCATTTCTTAATAGTAATATTTTATTCTGAAGAGTAATTTTAAAGTAATTCAAAAGGTTCAAGTTTTAAAAGCTGACAACTGCTGCACTGTAGTTATGATTCAAGCTTAGATTTCAGAGCTTAAAGTAGCTTCTAGACTCAGAACTACGACCATATCTTTATGTCAAACATTTTCTTAAACAGAACAAATTCACTTTGAAAAAATCCATGTAGTTCAAGTGCTGTGTGTTAATTATGTATATACTATTTTATTATGAGGATGCTGTGTTGCCTACCAACTGAGAACCCAGATAAAGTTATTTTGCCTTTTCTTTGTTTTGAGCAGAAATTTTAAATAGCATTTTTTTTTTTATAAACTATATTTTTTAAAGTTTTGAATGGCTTTTTTATTTTGTCGCTAAGATACCATTAAACTGAAATAAATAATTTTGAGTTTAAAAATAATCCTGACAGTCACAAATTTAAAATGGATTAGATTTTAAATAATTGGATTCATTCCTTTAATTAGGATACAATGATAATAATAAAACTCAGTAATACATCCTCCATACTCAATTCTATCAGTAGTAAATTTTTGACGTAAGCAAAGACCATTTACTTCTTCATAGGAAACTGTTCTTTAAGATATGTTATATTGTATCTTTTATTTGCATTGCTGTAAACATTAAGAAATTATTTATTTCATACAAGAAAATTTTTGAGTAACAAGCAATTCAAAATAAGCTCAAAACTACCAGGATACCTAATAATAACTCTGTTCATATATTAGCTGATATCACTATACAACCGGATATAATAAATTTTAAAACTGCAAATCAATGCAATGTATTATATTTGATGAAAATAAAAATTCATTTGCTTAAAAGAAAATTGTGTTATATTATTTTTTTGTTATGTATTTTTAGTATACTATGTGTATATCTTGGTATATTTCAAGGTGTATCTTGATATCTCAAGTATATCTTTAATTTCTTAAGATTATTCATTTAATACAATGTGTTGTTCATCAGAGAGAGAATATCAATTTGATCCTCTTTTTCATAATTTAAAATATAGCTTATTCAGGGTATGTTTTTTATTGTCATGTATAGCTTATTAAAATGAATAAAACATACCTGCCAACTTTTACTCTTTCTGAGAATGGATTTTTCAAGTGGTAGTAAAACAATCACCGAAAAACAATCTTATCCAAAAATATATTTATATTTTGACTCGGTTAAAATCCGCTGTCAAACAGATTAGTATGCTTTTATATATTTGTTGTAATTATTTATATGTAGTGGTGGTCAAACTCATTTATAATTATTATTATAATTCAAAAAGTCTAATGGCATGACATGAGTTTCGGTACCACTTTATATACGAAATTAAAATCTTCCGGGAAAACCGAAAGAGTTGGCAGGTATGATAAAATATAATATAAATTTTTTTTTTTATTTTCTGTTATGAATTAGAAATATTGTTTATTTACAGATATGCTGGCATCGGGAAATGTGCTGGTCTTTGTGAACAACAAATCACCTCTGATTCAAGATCTCTAAGTATATCATTCAAATTGTGAGTCATTGCTTATTCCTTTTTTTAAAATTTATTAGTTTTATTAAATGAATTATAATCTATTTATTTATTTTTAATATGATGATTTTCAAGTTTAGGAATTGCAAAAGAAAAATATCATTGCTTTATGAAATAAATATGTTCAGGGAAAATTTCTTCCACAGTGGAAAAAATAATGGAACAAACCAATTTTGAAAAATAAAATAAATTGCAAATACAACAAGTGATAAAAATAATTAAATGATTTTAGCCATCATGTGTGAAGTATTTGGCAGATTATGTGACAGTGCCACACTGCACATATTGCAGCATTGTTCCTTAAAAGATCAATGGGGTTGAATAGAAATGGGAAAGAATCTTTAAGGGTTGAATTGAAGAATAAAATGGACTGATTATAGATTGAAGGAAATATTGCTGAAAACAAAGAAATGACAATTAGACAAATTAGATGTGTTGATACTGAGACATTTTTGACTCAGACTTAAAAACCATTTTTTGAGAAAAGGGCTTATGATTTTATACCTAAATAAGTAATATTCTATACCATTTTAGGTTTCATTCAAATATGGTGTATATTTGTGATAAGCATGTTTTTGAAAATGTAGTCATCATTGTCAGCAGAAATAAGCGAATTACAAATACTTACGTTGGAAAATTGCAAAACCTTCTTTTTTTTGTTGTAGTAATCTAATTTTACGAATTTTATTAATTAAATTCAAATAAAATATTTAACTATATGTTAAAAATGGGCCTTTTAATTCTTATTATAAAAATTTGTAACTCTTTCAAGAAATTCTTTTTAAAAAAAATTTAACCTTTATTTCAAATTTAAAATTCTTGGTTTAATTTTTTAAATTAGTTAATTATTTTCTTGTGTTTTAAAAAATTGAAAATAAGGAACTTTTAGCATCGTACATAATCATTTCTTATACCTCCCTTTTGCCAGCAAAAATATTTCTGCAGTTTTGGGTACTTATACATAATTTTTCAAACTCACTTAATTCCTTCAATTTTCATCAAATTGAAATAAAATTTAGTCACAATAATAATAAATTACGTAATCTTAAATTACGTAATCTTAAATTGCACTTTCAAATTATGCAATAAAATTTTTTTTCTCCAAATATTTCTGCTAGTTGAAACTTTTTAAGTGAAACATTTAGTTTAGTTTTGAAAACACTTTATTCCATAAATTTGTATTAAATTTTTAGTGTTTTTAATTTTTTGAAAATTGTTTTACAGAAATCAGAAGAGTAGTTTCTCCAATGATTCCACTAGATGTACTGCCTTACCTACAGTAACCAAAGAATCCATAGATATTTACTCTACGTATGTTAACAAAGGCATAAATGGAGCACCTGAGCCATCGAAAAATTCGTTTGACATTTATTACTCTTATTATCTCAGCAAACATCAATAAAAAATTATTCCTACTCTTTTTAAGACTATAATATTGACCTCGAATCAATGTACTACAAGTGATGAACTTATCAAGTTTTGATGTCTATGAATTTTGAAAAACTATTTTTAACATTTAATTGCACATATAATTTCATAATAAGTAGCCAATTTAAATGATTTATTGAGCTAATGGAAATAAAATTTTTAATTAAAACAAAAGTATTTATGATTTTTTGCCAACATATATATGTCAATTATCCATTTGTATAATGTATCCTATACATGTTGGATCATCGAATGTTTTTTTTTTCTATTCTAGTTCATTGATTGGCAAAAATTAAGATTATTTATAATTGTGATAAATTGCATAATATTGAATTTTATGCCTCTCTTTGACTATAGACCAGGGAAAAGTCATAAAATTTATCCATTTGGAAAAATCAAGGACATGTCAAAGAATTTAATTAAAGTTCCTAAAAATTGGTGAAAATGAATTAGTGTAAGATTTTGAAGTGTTCAAAAATCCTGAATTTTTTCCAGAAAATTCGGTCTTTTAATAATTTTAAAAAGTTTTCTTTTTATTTTCAACTGTAATGGCAAGTATAAGTTTTTTCTAATGTATTTTATGCATAAGAATAAAGCTTGTTTGAAAAATTTATAATAAAATTTGTGGCACCACTAACAAAAATTGGAGAAATTTATTAATATCTGTGTGGAAAAAAATGAGAGAAAAGTTAAAATCCCCCCCTTGAGTCTTTGTGTTTACCTTGTTTATACTTATTTTTAAAATAGCAACTATTGTTACTAGTTTATTCTGTATCAACATTTATTCATAAAAATAGTCGCTCACTGCACATAATGTTTAAGGTTTTTAATATATATTAAATAAGCCTCCTGAGCATTTGTGAATTTTGATTTAAAGCTTTTTTTTTTAGAGAGGCCAGGGATTTATAAATCCGTGAGAAACTAGTCTGTTAAAAATTCTTATTATACCACTTGTTAATTTAAAGTTATAAATTATATCACTATTTCAGGTGAAAAGATTGTCTTGTAAGGTATATTTTTAACATTTAATTATGGATTTATTCATTATGATATATATTTAAGTTCATCTGCTACTAACATTAGGTTCAGTTGTGTAGATGCCTGTTTCTAACTTCTAAACTGTATACCCTTTAAAAAAGAAATACAAAGGAATTAAAAAAAAAAAAAAAAACACCTATCTAATTAAAAATACTTGTTGGGAAGCTATGTCTTGCTGAAAGTTTTTATAGCTAAAAAAATTAATTATTTTCTAAGTTTGTTTTATTCAGTTTTTTTACTATACAAATTCCCTATTTATGAGCTATTTATAACTGTTATATTTTTTATAAATATTTAGAAAAGATAATTGTATATAAAATGTGAATATTGTATTATATTGACTTCATTTATTTATAATAAATAAAATTATTTTGTTACAAAACGTTTGTTGTGGTGAGTTATGGGACAAACATAAAAGCAATTTTGCATTTATGTATTTATTTATTTTGTAATTTACGTTTTATAAAGTTATCACTGAGTGGTACATCCAATTTTCACATGAAAATTTCGTTTTAGTAACAGATTCTATAGGGCATGTAACCAATAAAATCAATAATAATAGATCTGTTGCAATATTTATTAAATAATGTAAAAATGAATTTTTCCCAAATGTTATAAACCTGACTAATAAACAAGAAAGAATTCTTTTTTTTAAAAAAAAAATTTAAATTATAGTTAGAGTTAAAATTTTTAAGAGAATGATATTTCTTGATTCTCATTAAATGAAGCACACTATTTTTGCAATAAAATATGCATTATTATAAATAATAGGCTTAACACATCTAGAAATTATGTAACTTTTGCTTGCCTGCTATGATTGTTTTTAATTTAAATTATTTAAAAAGACACTATTTAGTGATTAAATTCAGGAGCATTCCATTTTTTTCTGTCAGTTCCCTTGTTTGTCTGACGCAAATTTTTGCTCAAAAGCTAGTTTAATCCTTCTTCATCGAACTCAACTGGGTGGCAGGAGCGAGTTGCATCTTTGAAGTCAAAAGTTTCATTTTTATACTCGGTATACTGATTGCTAGCGGTTTTTTTTTACTTATGGTTCCCTTTCCATATGCAGCACGAATGTCACGAGCAGCATTTTGTGATCTTAGAAGCACAAAGGAAAGAGGTATCAAACATGCGTATTTTTCTTTATTTGAATTAATTAGTGATCTAAAGCTTAACATCAGTTAACTAAAAAGCGTCGATTTTGGTAGAACAAAATGGCTTCTTTCGAGTGATCAAAAACAGCCAATTCTTAAATGATCGGGCTCCTTCATGTGGAAACCCGATTTATATATATGAAAAAGAGAAAAAATAGCTTTACTTTATAATGGTATGGTTTACTAATGGTTAATGCTGTGAAAATAATTTTTCACATCATTTGTAAGCAAATTGTTTTTAAATATATTTAAACATGGAAAGTCTCTATGCATTTCTAAACTTGGGTTATGTAAAATATTTTAAATTTTGAAAACAGTATGAGAATCGGTTAAATATATCAAGATATTGATGTGATATTCGGGTCATAATTAAGGTGAAATATCAAAACTGTTTTCTACAAACTTTATTGACCACAAGGAATAACGTAAACTTACAACACTCTTAAAATTATTGTATTTGCATTGAAACGTTATCTGTTAATTTAATCTACGATTTAATCTTATGTCAATTTAATCCTTATTTTCTAAAAAGAAGATATTTAATACTTTATTAATCGGATTTTGTCGTCTGAACAATTATAAAACTGCATAGTGCGATTAAGCTCTTGGAATTGAGTTCTCCTAACAAAAAGATGCCCTCGAAAGGGTTTGTTTCGCTATTTTATATTTTTGGTAAACACATTTTTTGTTGTTGTTGTCTATAGCAGGAATTTTCATTGAAGATACCGAATCATTTAATTAGTATATTTACGGATATATTGAGACAAGTCATCGTTTTAGAGATATGATTAAAGTTGTAAGATTCATATTTCAAGCAATTGTATATTCCGTGCATCATATAATAACATTCTTTTATTGTATGCTTAGTGGTGCCATCTGTTGCCACATAAAAAAACTTAAATAAAACCATATTGAATGTTTCGCCTGAGAACTTCAAAACGACCGTTGCATTGCAAATCATTGTTGTTGAACAACAAAATGGCCATTTCATGTCTCTGAAGCAAATGGAAGATATGTTTTAATTTCAAATCTCTTTTTATATTCCTTTCATATTTCTGGATGTGTTTTTGCAACATAGAATTTTTTTTCTGTTGTTGTTACGTCTCTCTTGGAAGCATTTGAAAATTTTGAACAACTCTACTTTTTTTTTTTTCAAAAATTCTTTACATATGGTTTTAATTACTTTGCAAGCAGCTCAGGTGTCTATTGAAATGGATACTTTAACGATATTGTATGCTAAAAGATGGAAAATCGATCTTTGTTGGGATTTAAATTAGAAAACGGTATTAGACCGACCTTTGTTTGACAAGCCCAGTGTCATGTTGTCTGGTTTAGGGATTATTTACTTCAGAAGAATTTTTATTCTCGGAATTCTTGGAGCACTTTTCACTTATAGCTTACTTATAATCAATGTCTATATTTTAAGTTAAAATCAAATGCAAAATTTGATTTGAGAAATGGACTACTTAGTTGCAGCTATCATGTTTACGAAACTAATAACATCATAAAACAGATTCTACTGCAATTAAGTGCTTACTGAAATATCAAGGGAAGGATAAACTGAATTTTTTCTTCTTGCAATTGATTTAGCGTTCAAAAGTAATGAACGAAACCAAATTTCATTAATTTCTGACTATTCGTGGAGCCTAAAAAGACAAATCATCATTTAGCATAAAAATTGGAAGGTCACCAATATTTGAAATCGGCTGAAATAGATTTGCGTAAAGCATCACTTGAGAATCGTATTACCTCTAAGTACTTGTCAACTAACGCTGAGTGTAAATCTGATCCCAGGTTAATAAAATAAGTAAAAAGTGGTAGCAATATTTTTAGGTTATTCATTGCGAAAAATTATCAATCGCATTACGAAGTAAATCTATCTCCAATCCTTTGGGTACAAGACAAAATTTAAATGACGAGTGCATACTTGTCAACTTTTAATCCCTTCCATTATGATTTTTCCCAGTGGTATTAAAATGGAATTAAAATTTCAATTTTAAGCAAAAAATACGCTGTATTTGAAAAAGCTTAAGCTGATATATGCTTAATTTTTTTTAAGAATAGTGGTGATCAAAATCATTTAAAAATTAAGTATATAAAAGAAAAAATTATATATACTTACTACCACTTTAAATATGAAAATAAAATTTTACGCCAAATGCGTAAGAGTTGGCAGGTATGCGAGTGACACTCATCATGCGTTTATTACCAATAAAAAAAAGTCGTGAATAGAATATTTTGCTTGCTGTCAGTCCATTTCAGAAAGAAATAATGCATTGATAACTGCCACATCTTTTGAATGATAAAGCATTTAGTCAAGGTGTCAGGTTATATTTGATAACTATTTAAAAAAAAAAAAAAAAACTTTTTTAATCAAAAAACCTACAACCAGGATTTTAATTTAGTTGTTTCCTCTTAGTTTAGCTTTTGTGCTGTAAAAAACCTTGAATTATTTTGAATTTAAATGGCTCCCTAATCGTAATACAGAGATTTTGAAACAATCAATATAAATTTTTTCTCTTAAAGGATTTTTCTGCAGAAACTTTTTAGAAAATCTGTGACATGATATCAATGCGTTTGTATTTATTTTGGCCGATTTCACTTGGAATCAGCCTATACTATGAAACGCAACGCTTACTATTTCAGAATACTAGATAATTACACTACGGAGTGTAAAGCTTACTTTCTTTTCAAATCTTTGCTGAATCGCAAATAGTGTCAGAAATCACACTGTGCAACAATTTTTTTCTTTTTTTTTTTTCGTATGTATACAAAATACTTGATCTTACGTAATTCGGGAGCAAGGAAATAACTCTTAAGACAAGAAAACATATAACCTTTACCAGGGCCGGATTAACCAATAGGCACACTAGGCACGTGCCTAGGGCCTCCGAAAAACTTGGGAGAAAAAAATTTGTTGACAAAAATAATTTAGCTTTAAAAACAACAAGTGTATGTTGCACAAAATTATGAAGATACAAATAAAAATATAATATTTTTCGGTAATAAATTATTTTGCAGAATCTTATGATCTAATATATTACTTTTTTGCGATTTTTGGATTCAACGAAATCTTGTATTATGCTGTCGAATTCCAAACTACGCAAAATGTCGGATTGAATCGACATAAGTGCGAGCGATGCCAAACGATCTTGATTCATTGTTGAACGCAAATAATTTTTTATCAATTTTAATCTGGAGAAAGATCTTTCTCCTTCTGCATTTGATCCAAGAATCGACAAATATATTCTTAATGCAATGTGAACGTTAGGAAAAGTATTCACAAGTTTATCTTTAATTTCAGCCTTCAACATTTCTTGTGCAGATTTATGTTCATACAAATTTGAAAATAGTAAAAATTCATCTACAAAGCTTTCCTCTAAATCGGATGAGTAAATCGCAAATAATATGCAAGAAAATTTTAGCATACATTTTGAAAAGAGGGGAGGAGTGGGGAATTAAATTCAAATCATCAATATGTTTAAGAATAAGTATATTAATGTCTTTAAAAGAATGTTTTTGGAAGTGAATAATTTCGATATCAGAATTATTATTTTTTTGAAAGTTTTTAATAACTGAACGATGACTATTTATTCTTTTATTATTATTATTTTAATTATAATAATTCAAAGTGTAACTAAATAGTTTTATTTTGAACAAAGTAATGGTGAATTAAATAAATCAAACAATTATAACTCCGCCCACAAATAAACTGCTAAAGAAATACTTTGATTACAGGTTTTATCTTTTTACCCTGGTTGATACGGTTTTATGCTGGCACGTATTTGACTGTCCTTGTTTGGTAAGTTTTTTTGCTGGAAAACAGCTCTGGTGAAGTAATATTAGTATATTCTGCATCAGGGGTTTCCAACTTGCATGAGGCCGGGGGCCACAATTAAAAACACAAATCAAATGGCGGGCCGCAACTTTATCAAAATTTTTTGCAGAACTCTTTTATGTTTGAAGGAATATAAAATATTACTGCCAGAGTTTTACCAAGTTGTACAAAACAAAAGTATTGAATTACAAATTAAAATAGGACGTAGATTTTTAAAAATATTAAATAAATAATAAAAATTCGGGCTACAATAGCTTAATGTGCACCTCTATATTAAACAATTAATGTGCAACAGATATCTAATTGTTAAGGTATTAAAACTTACATAGTAGTATGAGAAAATTGATTATTAATTGAATTGAATATTCAATGAGAAAATTGAGGTTTGTC